ATCTGCTGTTCCGCACCTGTGACTTGGCTGCTGTATTTGCTTTACCATTTCCGCACAGTGAAGTCCTATTGTTGTAACGTGTTTGCTTCTCACAAATTCAGGAAAAGGAGGAATTGGTAAACTGAACTTTCGTGTGCCCTAAAGTTCATCTTTCACTGATTTAGTAATTTTTGGTCTGTAAGATAGAACAGAGTTTGTATATCTGGGGAAAGATTGCTGACTTAAAAAAAAAAAAATTCCTTGATCCTTCCATTTTTTTACAAGATAAATAAAGGGACAATTTCATCACTTACAGCTTTTAAAATTAAAATTTGTTTTTCAAAGTGGCTGGATAACGTTACTGTATCTAATGTATATTTGTATATGACTATTAGCTGAGAACCACAAGCTGCTGTGCTCATATCCTTGTGGTCTGCCAAGGGCGAAGAAGGGTGTCATTGCACTGATGGTTTTTCTATGCCACTAAAAAGGTGGATCATCTATGGATAATTTTCACAGTTTAGTGTCAGAAAATTATGATGACAAATGGGGTGCATCCAAGGTCAAAAAATAGGTCCAAATTTAAGAAGTTATTTCAAGTCCTGTTACTCTAACTTGGTGAAGGTATTAGAAGTTACAAAGATGTAAAAAAAAATGTAGGGAAGTTCTTTTCTTGAAGAAAGAATCATTTTGGTTCTTCCCTCTTCAGTAATATCAGCGACCTTTGAATAAGAGGAGCGTGAGTTTTGACACATCTCTTTCCTATTTGCATTGCAGAAAGATGCAGGATGTGCCATTGTTGCCCTCTCTGGATTATGAGAAGCTGAAGAAAGATTTGATTATGGGGAATGATCGTCTCAAGGCCTTCTTACTACAGGCCTTGCGCTGGGTAAGTGAGATGGCCTCCACAGAAGTAAAGAATTGAGTTCCTTCTGGAGCAGTCCTGAACTAGAATCTATGTTATTGACAAGGTGGTTTTTCTGGTGAGTGGTCAGTAGTGTTATAGGCAGCTTCTCTCTGTCAGTGAAGTTTGCTGGGCTCCTGAGGTTAAGAAAGCTCAGGCAGTAGCGCTCTCTTTCCCCTCTGTGTGATGTAAGCCAGAGGGAGGTACTGAGATCTTCAGTGGAAATGTCTGAGGAAATGCATATGAAGTATTCATATAAGAAGTGCCTATCAAAGAGGTGCCTAACTAATCACCATTTTTCCTTTATAATCAAGATAGTCTAGAAGAGCCTACATTTGGTTTGGCTCAAATAACATAATGTTATTTGGGAAAAACAGAAAATGAATACAGGAACTGAACATTTTCCTGTTGATAAAGGAAGCCGATGGGATCTAAGTAATGGACATGGATGGTAATAATAGTGAAATTCTGATCAAGCTTCAGTGTCCATTTTTACATACAAAACATCTGCTGGATCAAACCAGCAGTCCTTATAGCCCATTACTCTGTCTCAAATCTTTGAGAAAGAACATGAATTCCTTGCTGCTTTCTGCAGTCCATTCCCTTTGTTCTCTCCCACCATCTAGAACCAATAGATTAGAGTGCTTGGGGATATATCCTTCTGTAGTCCTTCTAGGATCCTTTTTAAGCGCCTCTTGGCCATGAGTTTGTTCATTTTTGAATCTGCTATTACTATCTGCCTCCACCACTTCCTGTGACATCAAATTTTAGAAAGTTGCTGCCTATTAGATATATTAAAAAAAAAACTGTTTTAAACAATTTTCTTACTGGTTTAATTGCGTGCTGGTTTAATTGAGTTTAACTGAGTGTTTTGGTGTTTTGGTCAGCAATTCCTCATTTTTGTAGATTTTTTGGTTGTGTTCCCTTCAGCCTTCTTTTTTTCCAAAACGAAGTTGTATTTTTTTATAGCAACTGCTCCATCTTCTTGGTAATTCAGTTACTTTTCTGTTCACCTTCTCCAATTCCACTACACCATTTTTTTAAGCTATGCTAACCAGAACTCTGCACAGTTTTGCAGCAAGGTTTTATATAAAGGCAAAACAGAGCATCCTAACCTGTTCTATTTCTGTAGCTGTTTAACTTTATGGGAAGTTATGTTGGATCCATCTTCTATGGACACTGACAGCTCCTGATTAACAGTTTTGTAATGGATCACTAAGCCAAGTTCTAGTCAACTCACTTCATCTCATTCTCTTGGACTGGTGAGGTTGAATGCTTTATCCCCATGAGAAAAGGATTAGTTCTGCACTGTGATATCTTAGCTTTTAAAATCTTTCAGTGGTTGTCAATGCTCAATACTGTTCATTTATGAGTAACTGGTTTATTTGTGTTTTTATTTATTTCAGCGCTTGACAACATCATATCCTGGAGAACAGAGAGACACTGTCCTGCAAGCGTACATCAGTAATGACCTCCTGGATTGCCACAGCAATTGTCAGGTCAGCAGAAAGAACTTTTCCTCCAGGTTGTATACGATACTGTTCATTTGTTTCTGTGAGGTGCTGATCAGAAACTTGTATTGTCCTCTGGAGAGGAAAGAAAAAAATAGTGCCAAAATCATGCAATGTGTTGAATTAATGCATCCCAGTCTTGTAGCATGATAAGAAACGCTTTGCATTATGAGAATTGTCAGTTTAGATTCTCGTGGCTGGTCTGTGCAGGCCTCGTAGGCGTACAGATTTCATACAGGCTTCAGCCATTGATAATCCAATACTATTGCCAATAGAAGTGCAACATTTGCACTCACAGTGCTTAATTTTCTACATAGTTGAGTTTCCTGGTTGTTTGAAGCAGTTAGTCTACTATGTTGTGGCTCCCACTGTCATTGCAATGGAAACTTTGAAGGATTAATCTGTTTTTCCTGCCTGTAAATTTCCATATAGGAGGGAAGTCATGTAAAAGTACCACAAGAAGTAAACCTAGGTTAAAAGTAACTTGAAGTGTGGTCATCTTGGGAAGTTACTGTGCTGCTTTTCCACACTCTTAGTCACTGAGCAAAAGAATCCCTATTCAGGTCACGTTTTGGTCATGTTTTGTTTATGAAAATGTAAAACTTATCATATTTAAGTTCATCAATAAAATTAACATTTCCTCTTTAATGATGCTGGTTTGTTATAATGCTCATCTTGTGCCAAGGAGCTTAATGGTGCTTTAACAGACTGAGCCAAGCAGCTGCAATTTGCTTATTTGTTCATTTTCTATCTTCCCTTCCACCCTCATAAGAAACTGGATGTTTTTTAAATGATACTGACATTTTTAAAGATATAAATATGCAGTATAATTCTAATGTTTGCTGTGGAAATTTGCTGAAGTTTTTAAATCGGTATAGAAAAAAGCTTGAATTTTCTGGCTTAGTGAAGATTTTTTTAAAAATGTTTGCTTTCTTTTTCAGAGAAATGTCTTCAAATTATTGCATTCGAAGAGTGAGGTAGTCAGACAATATATGGCAAGGCTCATTAATGCTTTTGCTTCACTGGCAGAAGGTAACTTTATGAAAGATTAGGTCAGCTGCATAAGGGGTGGTACTTTCTTTCGTATAGTGCTAGCTCATATGCACTTTACATGTGCACATCACTGCATATGGAAATTTAGAGTCTTTTCTTGAGACTCCCTGGCTTTGGTCCCATGCATTCAAAACCATTTTTCAGTAACTAGAAATGTTTCGTTTTGGCCCTGTGTATTCACCATTTCTGTCTTTGTATAATTTGAGATCTGTGTAGGAGTTTACACAGGTGGTACCTTTAATATAGTCTTCAATCTTTTCATGAGGGTTGTGAGTGAAGTGATGCTTAAAAGAAGAAAAAGGCAGGGGGGCATAGGGAAGGGCAGCCTCTCTCAAATGTTAGCCTCAGGTTGGTGCTTCTGAAGGAACTCACTTTTGGTAGGAACCTGAATCGCATTGACATTCAGTCAATCACAGTGGGACAGCTACCTTTCCTGAGCTCTTTGGACCTCTCTGTGCTTCTGCTAGATATACAGAGCTCTGCAGTAGATTAGAAAGCATGCACTGAAAGTGAGCTGGTGGATTCCGTCTGCTACAAGCAGAGGTACGAACTTGGCAAGTGGGGACCTCGTGCTCCAAGTGGCTGGACTGAATGCAGCTTTTAGACCACTCATTTGGGCAGATTTCGGTTTTGGTACAAGACTGTGGCTTGTGAGGAAGAAACTGAGGCCAATCCAGCTTGCTTTTCCAAGGTGAGGGAGCTTTTCTGTCATGGGCTGATATCTCAGCATCTGTTCTTTCATCGCTTTTTGCACCAGGTCGTCTCTACCTTTCTCAGAATCCAAAGCTGCTGCGAGTACTGGAGGAGAGACTGAAAGCGGAAGACAAGGATTCCCTTACACGGGAGAATGTTCTGGGGGCTCTGCAGAAATTCAGCCTCAGGTGATGAAAGCCCAGCAGGCGGTGGTGACAGCAGGAGAGGAAATGCAGGCTAGTTAGGCTCTGTTCAGGGAGGAAAGAAGAGCACTCGATTTTCCTACAATAATCATCAGAACCTCCTATGACTGATGAAAGCCGTGTCACTTATTTTGGAGGAGATCTCAGTTTTGCTGATTGAATTAATCTAACTTCCTAACAGCTGTCAATACTCAAGTAAACATGCATCTCCTGCCTTTATACATATTCCTTAACTGAGCAACCAAAGTGAAAATCTTACACAGAAAATTCTGAAGATCCCACCAAAAAGAAAAAAAAAAGAGAAAAAAGAACTGACTTAAGTTCCCGTATGTAGGGCTTTCATTATCTATTCTGTATGTATTTTTTATGGATTTCATCCTCATCCTGTTGATTTTCTTTTCTGAAACTGTGTATGTATGGGCTGTTTTGTTTCTTCTGTTTGCATTGGCAGTCTGACTTAGGTGGTGAAACATCATGGAAAAGCAGTAAAGGACCTGATGTTTCCCTCACTTGTCAGATAAATTTGATCTGGACTTCTGTTTTCATAGTACCCAAAAGGAACATTCAGTCCTCAATAGTTAAGAGTGTAAGAAGGAGGATATATGTGTTTAGCTCCTGTCATTTTCTATCTTCTTCTTCTAAACTAAGACTAGAAGCTGTGTTTTTTTGTTGTTGTTGCTGTTGTTGGCTTTTTTTTTTTTATGTGAGACTCTCTAGAGGAAAGTGCAAATGGATTTAAGCAAAGAACTAATTTGCTTCTCCTATAGCACTTTTTTACTGTTGAGAATAATTAAATTGTTCCATGGAATTGTTACATGTGGCTGGCTTTCTTTTAACAATTTGAAAGCAATTGACAATGCAGTTTTAGGCAAAAAGAAGAAACTTACCCCAGCTTGTAGGTCTTAAAAAGAACCGCTCCCAAAAAACACAGAATATCCCCCTGCAAAATCTACATCTTTCATTTCTTTGGTCTTTATTAGTTCACTAGTTTAATTGATTAGTCCAAAAGAGGTAGTTTGTTTGCAGACTTATGCATAGCAGATGATTAAGCAGGGATGAATGTACTCGTAGTAGCTATATATGTGTTCTAAATCTATTTGTCTTTTTTAAATCCTAGGCGTGCACTGCAGTCTGCCATGATCAGAGATGGGCTCATTTTCTGGCTGGTTGATGTTCTAACAGATACTGATTGCCTCTCTGATTACACACTGGAGTATTCTGTTGCCTTGCTCATGAATCTTTGTCTGAGGAGTGCAGGTGTCTTGCATTTCAAGTTTTAATCTTATTCCAGGAAGCAGATAGGGAAAATTTCAAATCCTTTTTTCTTTCTTCTTTTCTTTTTTTTTTTTTTTAATTTTATTGAATTATTTTAAGTGCCTGTATTTAGTAGCAGGGATCCACATATCCAGTGATATTTGAGTGGCATAACCAGTGCTTTTGTGCAGATTCTTGCCCAAGAATCCCGAACTATGGAGGTTAGCTTAACCAAGTGTTAATGGAGCCCTCCATTAATTTTGGATCTCTCAAGAATTGTGGGTATTTTTGTTGTTTGTTTTTTGGGGGTGGGTGGTTTGGTTGGCTTTGGGATTTTTTTTTTTTTTTTGAATCGTACATAGTTATTCCTGTATCCTAGGCCCACTTTTCAAAGGATATGGTATGCATACTTCTATAAGAGATATGCTTTAGAAAATAAATTCAGAACTCAATTAAACAGTAATGGCAAGGAGCGTAAGCTTTGCCTAGGCTAATGAAACAACTTGAATACAACACTGCTTTTACAATGAAGAGATTCTCCCCAAGAAAGTAATAGTCTTGCCTATGCTCCAAAGAAGCTTAAAGAAATTTCCTTTTAAAAAGGAAAACAAGTCAAGGATGAATAAGTAACTGCTTGGCATAATTAAAGTAATGTCTTTGTTTACTTTTATTAGATTTTTATTGCATCCTGGCCAAGGTTGTATCTGTATAAATCCAGAGTAGATCGATTGATTTCAGCAGAGGTATGCTGAACAGCATTTGGCAGGGACAAGGAACAGCATTGTTCCTTCTAAATTAATTATATTTAGGACAGATTTTAAGAAATGAAAAAGAAGCTTGTTCTTGTCTCTTTCTCTCTTTTTTTTTTTTCCCAACACACATTTCTCCTTTTACAGGAAAGAAAATGTGTGCAAAGATTGCAAGCCGTGTGCTCAAAGTTCTCTCTGACCTTCTTGGCCATGAGAATCATGAGGTATGTGTACAGTAAACTTTGGTCAAGGAAGAGGTGGAAAGAAAAATTAATAAATAAAGAAAAAACAAGAAAGTAAGAAATGAAAGTAAATTGGTTTCATTTCCCTTGTTAGAGACCCATTTAATAAGGTTATTTGAAAATTTTCTAAAATGCACAGTGTAATATAGTTGGACACTGACCTTGTTAGGCATAATTATGTCTGTCTGTACATGCATTGGTAATTGCAAGTGAATGACTTCCGCATAGTCATCAAGCAATCCATGTATATTCTTAATTGCAGATTTGAATGCTGTTTAAATGTCACCTTATATTAAATACTCTCAAATCTAAGTTCATTAGATGAACAATGTGTAGTGCATGCCGTTACATAAAACATCAGATACAAAGAAGGAAATCTTCTAGCAGGTTTAAGCATTATAAGAAAGCAGTGGACTCGCAACTAAGCCATTAAATTAAAACAACCCTGGAGAATGCTAAAATTGATAATTTGTTTCTACCTACTGCTTTTTCAGCATATCACCTAAGCTTACAGTGGTTGGAGTCTATTTTGAGTTCCTGTTAACACATTTCTTTGTCCTTTCCTTTTTCTTGTATCGCCCTGTCAGAATTTTATACTACATTTTCACCCACATTTTTACCTTTTTGGCAAGATGGATTTGCAAAAATATATTCTCCGAAAGGGGGGAAGGGATAATCAGCACATGGGGGTTCAAATTTAGATCAACCATACTGCAGTGTATGTGCAACCTAAAAGTTCACTGCTTCCCAGGTGGGAATTTTTGCAAGTGCAGTTCTGTGAGCATGATTCAATAGCTTTGCTTTTTCACTCCTAACCTTTGCTTATCATCGATAAATATGTGAGAGTTATTAGTGGTCTGACCACGGGCAAATATTCCTTCCTCCTAGATACAACCATATGTGAATGGAGCACTGTATAGCATCCTTGCTATCCCTTCTGTCCGAGAAGAAGCCAGAGCAATGGTAAGAGATACTGCCTTGCCTAATAAAAGGATCAACATGTGCCAGAAATGGCCTACGGGTGGGTACCAAGTGAGTGGCAGGCAGCAGGCTGGAGAGCCATGGACCTTCAGAAAGGGAATCCACAGGAGGCAACCCACCTTTGATACACAAGCAGGTGTGAATTTACTCAAAGGTTTTTGCCATAATTGCCATATATTCACTCAGAAAGCCCCAGCAGTGTGAGGGATTTTTTTCTAGATTTCAAATTGAAGGTGTTATTTTAGAGTAGAAAAGTCCATCTAGCAGTTCAGGAACAGGATATACTCTTGAAGATAATTTCATCTTTCTGTTACTTTTTCCTGAACCTTTTTCCTGTCTGCATCAGTGAATAGTCTTCTAAAGGTAAAAGTTCTTCTTGTTGCATTTATTTTGCTTAAGAGGGCAGTAGCAGGAGAGTCATCTCAGAACTAGGAACTGACCTCTATGAAAGTTAGTCTAATAGTAGCAAATGTGTTTTTGACTTCTAGTTTTGAAGTATATCGTTTTATTTAAAGGACTAATCTGTAGATATATGCAGACTCAATTGCTGCCATATTTTTTTACCTCACAGAATTGGATATAGGGAATTGGATGTCTAGATAAATGATTAAAGGCACAACATCAAGCTTACAAGAAGCCACAAGGAAGAGAGGGCGTTTAGGAGAAGATCAAAGCTGGTCCTAAATTTTACTTACCTTCTTTGAACCTTGCACAGTTCTCTCTGAACACAAATTTGACATTTTTGTTATCAATTTTGTATCGAGTTCAGAAGAATTTGCTGCTTGTTATGGTTACTTCAGTATTTAAAACTATAAGCAATAGAGACCACATATTTCTTTTGTTTTTGGAAAATGTATGGACAAAATAGAATTATTAGAGCTGGACACAGTGATTTGTTTCATGATATGTGTTTTTTTTTTTTGTTTGGTTGGTTGGTTTATGTTTTTTTCCTTATACCCCCCCAAACAAAATAATATTATTTTAGTTAACAGAATGAAAAAATTATTGTAGTCACGTGAAATACTAATCTAGCCATGTTTTCCACTATCTCCAGGGAATGGAAGAAATCCTGCGCTGCTTTATCAAGGAAGGAAATGCAGAGATGATTCGACAGATTGAATTTATTATCAAACAGCTCAATTCAGGTCAGAGGAACAGATGCCGCTATCTAAGCTGTAAATCTTTCACAAAAGCCATAAGAAGGCTCATGTTTTTATTTGGCATTGTAATTCTCAAAGAACAAAGAATGACAATAGTGTGCAAGTCTGAGAGAGGGCAAATAGCAAACGTTAGGATTTGAATGTCAAATGTATTTAGATGTATTTTAAAATGTCCTTTTTTGTTACAGCTATAAAGAAATAAAAGGCTGCAAAGTCTCAAACCTAAAGAAAGCTTTGGGGCTGTGAGCAGCATGACTGTGGCTGTGTCTTTTATGCCGTTGGCTTCACAGTAGTGAGAATGGTGTCAACTGAAAAAAAATGGGGGACTGGATCCATCTCTTCTCATCTCTTCCTCTGTGGAGGAGTGCAGCTCCGTTATCTGAAATGGCTACCTTAAATAGAGGACAGAGACTGTCCCTTTCAGAAAATACATTGATGGGCCCCAAGGCCTTGGTGATAGCTTGGCAATACCGAAAAACTATGAGGAAGTGTTAATATTTCTTGTATATTCTATTCTCTCTGAGTAAAAGGAAGGATGAAGAAAGAGAGAACAAATGTGAATAACAAAAAAGAAGTGAATTCAGATTAAATCCTTTTGAACAACAAGAATAGAACAAGTTTGACTGCTTTCTTTTACTTTGGAGACAGCAGAAGATGCATTTTATAATCCTAGAAGATGCATCTTATAATCCTAGCATGCAAAAGAACAAATAAAATATTAAAGCACCATATTATCCCTGTGCAACATCTACATTCTAAGTTTATGAGGATATAAAATCCCTCTTCTGCCAATGAGAATGGCTTTTCAAAAGGGTGTGTTTGTGTAGTGAGTAATAGTTGAGTTTCTGGTATAGCCTCCAGGGTTTGCTTCTAGGAAAATCAGTTCATCAATGTCGTCATTGCTATCAAAGTTATGATGTTTTTTCTTTAACTGCTTATTGATGTTTCTGCCTTATTACACAAAAATTAAAGTATTTCATATGAGTACTACCTTTTTACTTGTAAACAGTTTGATAACAAGGTGCTTGTAGGGTGAAGTAATTATCTCTTATTAAAATATAGTTGGAACAACAGACGAACATTCGTCTTGCTAGTAAATGCAGTGTGAATTCATACTGGGTTTTATGAGAAAAGAGCCATTCCAGAGTGTTTCTGTTTCTGGCTTTTCCTTGAATATGAATTGACTTCAGTGATGTCTAGAACGCTTTCTAGGAGCAAATAATTGCAATCTTTGTCTTGAAAATAATGGCATGTCTATGTAAGAAACTAAATCATGGTATTGCAGGAGGGACAGTAACTGCAATTTATGTTAAGTCTGAGATGTGCTCTTATGTGGTTTTGTTTTGCTTATTTCTAGAAGAGCCATTAAATGATAGTATTGTGTCTGATGATGAAGAGGAGGAAGAGGATGAAGAAGTAAGTACAAATGCTTACTAGCACCTTTTATTAAATTCTTTAACATTCTAGACTGAAAATAACAATATACAAAACAATATTAAATTACAAAAATTCCTGGAGATCATGTATGTACTGAAAGCCAAGCTTATAGCAAGGGAGCAAACTCAGCAAATGAGTTTTTGACCTGAACGAAGGAAAGAAGGAAACTTAAAGCTCAGCAAGTGTGTTGTCTACTTTCGCTACCTTTATCCTATAAGCCAGCTACTGTTTTAATAGTCATCTGTGCTCTACTATAGTAGTAGCACTTTGCAATATAGATGAAATAATTTATTCTAATTTTTGTTAACATATCCCAGTTGTAAAAAGTGTGGTGTGCTCTCGGTTATCATGGAGCTTAGTACCTTGCCAGATCCAGCCTTTGCCTAGCAGAGCCCTGAGCAGTTTTGCACTTGCTGAATGAGCAGTTTTCCGTGTTTACGGTGCAATAATTATCCTGCTTAATACTCTTTACGAACTGATGTTCCAAAGCTTTGTGTGTCCAATGCATTGTGTTGGTGCAAATAGATGATATTTTGTCTTGATCTCTGTATATCTATTTGAAAGATACTTTGAACTCAACTTTGATCTGTTGTGAAATATAAGAGTTAAGAAAATCTTTCAAAAGTGGGCTTGGCATTGCATTGTGTGATAGTGCTGAGCACTGACTAATTTTGCTGTTGTTGAGAACAGAAGGGAGGTTAATTCTCTCATTCAGTCATGTCCACTAGGCAATTGCGGCTGCTCAAAATCCCAGCCAACGGTCTAGGTCAAACCAGTTTAAAATAAATTTTTACCACTAACCTATCATGTGATTATAACAGATTTCTTCGCTCATTGCTATTTTTGAGTCGAGTAGCAGTGGATAATTGAAGCACAGAAATGGCTGATTTCAGTTTTACCTTAGCTTTGCCATTATATTAAAAGGAAGAACAACTAGTCTCAGGAGGCAAGTTTCAGAATATTTGCTTCTAGTATAATATTAGTTAGAGCAAGTTCTAAATGCTATAATTGTTGGTGGGAATTATAGTCCTATTCTGTTAATAGAGACCTTGTCCCTGAATCCCCCAGTTACAAAATACAATAAATAAACAGAATGGTAGCAGAATGATATGTAAAACTCTCAGTGTTGTCTTAAATAACCAGAGATTTGTGGACTCACTGTCTCAGTGCTTGAGGCCCTCTGTATTTTGGAAATGCTGTGAGTTATTGTTTGTTGATGATGTTCTGTGGTAACATCTCATGTTGTCATCTGGCAAGTGAAGGTTTTGGAAAATTTTATCACAAGTCTTGGGTTGATGTAAGTTTTAAAAATTACCACAAACAATGTATTTCAGAATATATCCTTATATTGGCAATTCAGTAATGTGCATTCAGACTGCCATCTTATAACTTAGTACGAATCAATTTACTACTGATATTTATACATTTACAGCTAAGCAACAACAAAAAAGCTTTTGTCCAGGCTCTTAATTTGCTGTTTTTACTCCAGTTCTTATTGCTTCCAAAGCATTCAGAGATTCCCCATCTTGATGCTATTACCTTTTCTGTGTTTTGCTTTTATCTGTGTTTAGTTTGTAATTGTCGAGTTCTCCCCTGGCTTTGAACAGATCATGTGGTAATGACTACTTTCTCCTGAACACTTCTTGCCAAGATGCAGTTGAGCCTGCTGGATGATAAATCTGGGCTTTTTAAGAGATCATCATATACGCAGAAGTTTAGGATTCACTAATGTGCGACACCAGGGCATTTAACAGCATGATAAGCCTCTACATGGGTACAGTTATTTGGAAGGAAATTGGCTTAGGATTTGTCTGCTGAACTTTTAAGTAGCTTATCATAGAGCTTGTGCTGTGCTGGCTACAAGGGTATTTACCATCTGGGTCGCATTATCCAGGTTGGGTGTGTGGCCACTGTCCTGCAGTCATAGTGTGCATTTCCTGGTGCTGCATGCTCTCTTCACTGGTCTTTTAAATACTAGCTTAATTTGTCTTCAATATTTAATCTTTACATTTTTACTTTACTTGGCCTGTCTCTATAAGCAAGCTGTGGCAGTAAATATGTGGTACCATAGCTCTAACTCAGAAGTTTCGTTACGAACTTGAGATTTATAGATAAGAGTACGGTGACTGTTTCTCAGATACCCTCTGATCCAGCTGTCACTTGGCACCTGGCAATAAAATCTGCACGCTCCAGAGTGAAAACCCGCTTTAGTGAAAAAGTACATTAAAGGAAAGAGAGCTTAATCGCAGGCTTGGGGGACATGAAGCCGTTAAAGCCCTTGGCTGCCAACATCGTCTGCAGCCTGTGGGTGGTGGCGAACAGGGCGCCATTGTGTTAGGGAATCAGGGGAACGATGACATGTCTGACAAGCAGGAGGAGGGACACCTTGGGGACACCATTCCCTGATACGTTAAATAATGCCAGGGAGCACGCTTGGCAGGGAGAGGATCTCTGCAGGAACCAGCTGTACATTTGCTGTGTCACAAAATGCAGGTGTCAACTGAAATATTGGTTGAGGTGCAACCTGGGGTGGACAAAGCATCTGTGAAGACAAATTAAATACATCAGGCACATAGATACTTGGATGAAAGAGAAGGTTGATGTTTGGCTGTTTTGTGTTGCCCTCAAGCAGCAGTTCCTCCACGCCCAGCAACAGTGCATCCCTGTGTGTAAGAAGTCAGGCAGAGGGGGCAGGAGACCTGTGTGGAGAAGCAAGGCTCCTCCTGAGCCTTTATTAGGGCAAACAACAAATAATTATCTGTGGTTGGAAAGGAGAGCAACTTTCAAATACCAACTGTGATTTTTTTAGCAAATTTGTAGAGAGATTGGTTATTTTCTTTTGCTTGAGTGTCTCTAGTTTCTGGTTGTATTTAAGTGAGTTGCTAGGTCTCTACTATTTTTTTTTTTTTTGCCTGAAAAGCTTGTACATCACTGGTTATGTATGTAGTGTTAACAGTCATTTATCTGGAAAGTGCATATCATCTAAGTGACTACTAAAAAGAACTAAATTTGAAGCAAAAAAGTCTCTGGGGCCTGAGCTCAAATAGCTGAGGTGTGTTGCTGTTTCAGGAGGACCATGACACCATGGAGGCTGATCTGGACAAGGATGAGGTTTTACAGCCTCAACTGGGAGAGCTTGCAGGAGAGAAACTGCTGACAACTGAGTACTTGGGAGTGAGTACTAGTCTTTAGAATCCTGAAATAAATTACTTTTCTGGATTAACTGTTTAATTTCAGTAGTTTTAAGAATTCTGCCTCTTGAGTTTGTTACTTGAAATACCAGGCTCTACATGCATAGAAGTCCAAATCCCTCATAATGTGAGGTATTAGCTGCTGTCCAAAAGAAGTAACTTTGAGAGAGGAACCTTTACACCTTTATGGGAAGTGGGCAGGTCATAGCTTAATAATAAGCCAAAGGCAGCCTTAGGGTTCTAGTGGTAAATCCGTGCTGCTGCAGGCACACAAAGCAAAGACCTGAGCAAGTTAATGCCAGAACAGTCTGCTGGTTTGATATTATTTTGACAAAAATAATAACAGTTAACTGTTCCTTCAGTCTTTATGCCAGATCAAGCACTGTGTATCTTACTTCAAGCATTAAGTAAAAAAAAAAAAAAAAAAGGGCATAAAGTTGGCCTGTGTTCCATCTAGTATGTGTGACTAGTGGGAGGGAAATGTGCTCAGTTGCCTTCTGGAGCCCAGGGTGCCCAGGTCTGGCTAGATGATGCTAGAACCTTGACCTTAGAAGTCATCATAGAGCCTGCAGTGATTCCAAAGACTTTTTGTTCAGCGACTGGGACACAATTTGGTTTCTGAAGCAGTGTTTCTATCCTATATACTTTTCTCAGTGACTCCAGTTACTTGTTTCTTGACTTCTTCCTCTTTTTTTTCCCCCGCTTTGCTCCATTTCCATTAGATAATGACTCATACTCCAAAAAACAAGAAGAAGATGTTCCCAGGTGTCCAACAGAGTATAGATGAGCCCCTGCAGAGACCTGTAACGCCAAGTTTTCACAGAACTGTGTACCCAATGTAAGTCTGAACAAATGAGGCAAAATTGGATTTTTAAAAAACACCTTAAGATTAAAACACGGTAATTCAGTGCCTGATAAATAAAATGTCTATACTTGAAAGTGCATCTTGCTATTGTCATTCTTTACAGATCACTTTGAAAAAATAAAAGGAGGAGTCATTTAAGCAGAGTCTACTGGACGAGGTTGCGTACTTCGAATAACTGACTAAATGTTTATTGATCTGTTTGATAAACTTGCATGATATCCTTTGCATTCATAATCCTTTCCTTCTATGGTATACTCTACAGGTGAATTGCATGCACTATGTAAAATACCTAGGATCTTCCATTTTATAAGCAAATATATTTCTCTAAGGATATTTGCTACCCAAACATGAGGAAACGATTTAAAAATATAGTGGGAAAGACAAGAATCCTCATGTATTCAATTTCTGCATTTGGAAGGAGAGGGGGAAAAAATAAAAATATTCTGGCAGGAGGGTCTGTGACACTTGGCTCTAGAGGTAATTAGATAGTGTTTCTTCTTGCTGCCATCTACTCAGGTAGTGTGTTTTCTTAGCAGAATCCAGGGATTACCTGATTCTGTGTCAAGTCAAATCTTGCATCTTCTTATCAACAGCTGTGCAGCTCTTGCCTCTACAGGACAATTTCATGTCACTGCAGGATACAAATTAAAAACAGCTTTGGATTCATACTGATTCTGGTAGCTTTGTGTCCAAGCATTAGTTTGTTGGTGTTTACGCAGTCTTTATGGATTGCCTCATTATGGGTGCTGGAGAGAGGAAAAATGGTCAGCAGAAATCTAACATAGTGAAAATATATGAAAATTTATTTTTCCATGCTTTGCTCAGATGTAGAACTGGTGTGACTGTTTGGTCCTTCAGTGTTTTAGCCGGGAAGCACAAAATAGCACCCTGAGAAATCTGCGTTTTATAGTGAAATTCTACCTAATTAGCCTTTTTGTGCAAGGAAATTGCAGCAAATGGGCAAAGACATTCTTGAACTAGATTTTACAATAGAAAAGGACAAGCTCTGATGGCTTTTATACCATTCTGATTGTAGTTAGATTTCATTTGCTAAAATGAGGAAATACTCTATTAGTAACTCTTGCAAGAGGAAGACAATAAAAGTGACTAACTCTTACCCGATTTGATTTGAAAGCAAAATCTGAACTGTATGTATGTCATATTTTAAATAATTTAAATAGCTGGTGTTTGCATCAGATCAAATAGTATGAAAACCATCAGTTTTTTTACCCTCTTGTCTCCCTAAGGACAACCAAGAACAGTTGATCTGAATTAGCTAAAGTTGTGTATTAAGCTGAATAGTTAAATCGCACTAAAACTGTGGAAAAAAGAACTTGTTTGCAGTGATTGTAATTTCAAATTCTTCATGAGAGATTTGATGCAATATATTCCATATATTGCATACATAGACATAGAATCCTAGAATCATTATGGTTGGAAAGGACCTTGAACAGGATGGAAGAGGGGACGATCAGTTAGTGGAGATAATATATTGGACCTCTTATAAGTTGTTAGCTCATACTTCAAAAGAGGGGAAGGATTTTTTTCTAGCTGACTAAAAGTAATCACAAATTAATACAAAATAGCTAGTGCACATGTAGCAGCTATTCTATAGTAATTTATTTATGACTCCCTACTGAAGACAAGTTTCTAATTATTTCATTTTTTCAGTTATTTTTGCATTCTAGTTACTTCAGGTGAATTGTCTTGCTACGTAAGCTGCTTTCTTGTCGTGCGCCCCTAAGGCACAGTACCTAAGCCCAGTTAAGTGGGATTGAACTACTTAATATTCCTCTTGCTGCTCCCTTAGAAACTGATTTAGCTGTGAAATCATTAACTGCCTCCCTGGACTGCATCCTTTCTAACTGGAACTAGAGTCTAGTTACCTTATCCCGCCACTGGGCATGAATAGCCAGGGAAACCTTCTGGGTCAGCCAACATTTTCTTGCACACTTTTCACACCTCTCTTGCTTCCCTTGTGTGTTGTTGCCTATTCCTAAACTATCTTTATCCTATTCCTTCTAGTGGATGTTTGTTTTTTTTTCTCAATGATCTAGCTCACAGGGGAAGTCAACAGATCTACTTTTTATTCTAAGTCTGTGTTGCATGTTGCTCTCTGCAAAGTAGAATCCTCGTAATATATAAGAATAAATCTTACATCCTTGCTAACACAGAGTATTGGAGATTTTTCAGGCCCACCACTGCAGTCTGTTTTTTTCAAGTGTCCTGATGGTTGTTGTGTCTCCAGGCTGCAAGGAGTTATGGTTTCCTTTCCCTGGCTCTTTACTGATGTAGGAAAACATGTTGGTTTCAAATATGTCTAACATCAGCTGGTTTGGGAGAGCTACAGTCATGCACTTAAATTATGACCTTAATGCTAGTTTACAGTATTAAAAGAAAAAAGAAAAGTTTTAAATTCTTCCACAATGTTACAGGCAATTAAAAGGTAACTCTCATGCAGTGTTTTAGTCTCTAAAATTTCAATGCCCTGCATTCTCCTTTCTCCTCTAGGCCAGAAAACGATGACATTTCTTGCCATAGGGATGAAAAACTCCAGTACTTGCCAAGTGATCGTCTTCCCACTCGTAGCGGGAGCAGGTCCAGTATTTCAGATCTCTGCGTTTCCTCCTCATGTAAGGATATTATGTGAATGCTGCTGTTAATTGTATTGTCCTGAGTGGGGCAGGCATTTGGGGCAAAGCATGTGGGTTGCAGGCTTGTAAATTGTGGCCCTCCCCATGCTTAGCCTGGGGCAGCCTGCAAGTCCTTGGGATGCCTTGTGCCCTTTTGCCTTGAGCGCAGTGAAAGGCTGCAGGAGGGACCATGTGGTCTGCAGAAATCCATGATCTCACTTGTTTCACTCCATCTTCCTGCGGAAGGGTCAAGGATCACACCCAGGGCTTCCTATGTGCAAAGTGTATTTTCTTTCACGTGGCGATATCCTCTGCCTACGAGAAGAACTGCAGCCAAGAGACAGTGCACTTCCCAACAGGCAAGGCTACTTACTCCATCAAATATACCCTTGTTTGGAACTAAATGAATCACTGTCCACTGGCACCTGCAGGCTCTGTTGGCTAGACCTCTCTATTAAAGTTGAGGACAGCTGCAGTTATATCCTCAGTGGAGCAGCTACAGTCAAACCATACAAGGCTGTGGAGGATGGGAGGCTCTGTGCTGTGTAGCTACATTGTGGGTAATGCTGCTAAAGATTCTGCTCTTGCAACAGAAACTAAAATTAGTGCAAACTCAGCTGGGTTTGGGAAACGGGATGTAGTTTAAAAGGTTATAGGCTTCGGAAATATTTTATTGCAAGCTCCTGATAACCACTGATCGACTTTTGCTGTGGGAACTTCAACCTGCTTGCAGGGATTCATTAACATTTCCAATTAGGGGTTTAAGGCAAGATGGTCTGCGGTCTTGGATAAAGGGTCTTCCAGTGTATCAGGCACAGAATTTTTAATAAGTTCAGACAAGGCATGACTTGACTTTACTGAGAAATATGCTTTGAAGCAATGAAGAGAGAGCATACTTTTTTCTCTATCTCCCTTTTTTTAAATTTCCTAGAGGAAATGAAAAGGATTCTGAGAAAAGTAACTGAGTCTTGCAGGAATCTGCCTGTATAATGCCTCGAGCTGATAAATATAATGCTAAACAAAGGGCTTATGAGAGAAGCAGATGAAGGTCTTGCTCAAGATGTGCACTTGCATTCTGCATTCTCGCTGCCGTGCAGGAATGGGAGCTCTCTTGCTATCTCCCAGCCTCACTTCACACAGGAGAGCTACAGGGAGATTAGCTGGACAGAGGCAGCAGCCCAGAACTCCAGAAGCTGCAACCCAGTCAAAACTATGCTGATTAACAGTTTGGTTACACACAAGGATAAGAATAATAAAAAAGGTATTCCACGTGTTTGTACTTTGTAAAGAAGATTAAGTACTGCAGATATCAAGGCCACAGCTATTTGCTGTTTTAAACATACTTTAGGATAAAACCCTCCTTTGGATGCCAATTAGGAGAACAAATTACTGGTGTTTCTCGGGTGTTGTGCAGCCCCAGGAGCCCAGCATGGTGTACAGTACCTTTCCTGAGAAGTGCATTCGCTCACCTCCATCAGCTCCTCCGTGCTGCTGAGCCTGCCCTGCGCTGCGGGTGCTGTCTGGCAGTTTGCTCATACAGATTTGGGGGGAGGTTTAAATGAGGAACCTGAGTAAGTCACAACAGTAAATGTTGTTCTTCATGTTTGAAGAGGAAAATCAGTTTGATGCCTTTGTACTGAGGAAATTGCTGCCAACTTTGATGTTTGTGTATTTTCAGAACTTTATTGTAGGCCCATCTAAAACACTGTTTCTTAGCTATTTTCAGTCAAGATTATATGAAGATGAATGTTAAGACAACTAGATTACACTTTATCTTCCTGTAGAAAAATCTTGGGTTTATATATGCAAAAAGACAGGTAATTTTTGTGTGTGGCTGTGGCAATTCTTCCTTGCACTTATCCAGGCTATAAAATACTGCTAAGTTCCTGAAGGGGCTGTCAGAAGTTTGTTTCAGGCTTTTGCAAGTAGCCAGTGAAATATGTGTTCCCTTGTCTTTTTCTGCTTACTTTTTGAGATTTAAAAATGCACAAGAGGAGGAGAGACAGTCTTGCAGTGCTGAATCCCATGGCTATTCAATTCAGTGGCAGGATTTTGATTCTGTATAATGGTAATTGAATTGACTGTTTGGATTGTCCCTCTTTTCTGAAAGAGATTTTTTTTTTGTAAATCTTGAATTGTAAAGGTTTGGTTTTAAAACAGTGTAAAATAAGTTCTTGAGACTATAATCCTTAAAAACATTATTATTCAAAGCTTCTTTGCACTTTCTCTCCTAATGCTTTCCTAGATACTGCAGTGAACAGTGCAAACCAGAAAGATGTAAAAATAATTGTGCTTCAGGGGAATATAATTGCTGTAAAATAGTCCTGTTTTTTTGTCCCCATTGATTGCCTGTTGCCCTGTTACTAGGGTTATGTACAGAGGACTGCCAGTGGTTGCATTCCTTTGAATTTAATGAGATGTCAGGCATTGGCTGATATATGTTAGATGATGATTTGCCTGCTGCTAACCCATTGCAAATGCAAAGTGTAACTGCTTTGAAAATGGGTCAAGTGTAGTTTACTTTTCGGCTGTGAGGGGTTGGAAGGACGTGCACGTGCAGTTAACTTGGCTCAGCTGGTGAGCAGTAGCTCACTTTGCCACAGTGACTCAATAGCCTGCCCTTGTCTAAGGGTTTCTGTCTTGCAGCAGGAGCTGTGACTTGACTGTGTTTCTAAAATATTGTAAAAACAACTTCTCACTGAATTGTGTTTCTTCTTTAAATAGCAATTGAAATGGAGTCATCTAAGGTATTCTCCTCAGGCCATGGAATGGATCAACGCACCCCAGCTGTGGACAACATCTTGTCTTCCCGATCTGCTGAGTTCACCCAAGAGAAAGTAAATGGGCTGTCTAATAGGTATGATTTGTCCAGATGAGTATGTAAGAGAACAAGAGCAGTCTGAGAGGACTTACCAGCTAATTCCATGCAAAGACAACCTGTGAAGTCAGTTGATGTATGATGCAGTCTGGTGTGAGACAGCTCTGATGGTGCTTGCCAAACAAAATACCCTTAGCTGTGCCAGTGGCAGATGTTCAATTTCTAAACATCTGTTCCAGAATGGGAGAAACCTCAAGTAAGACAGTATTAATGAAGATCACATGTTTCCCCATACCAACTTCTGCATGTAAAACTTCCTTATTACTTTTTTAGATGATGGACTATACTGTACCTCATGGAAAATATGTATCAATAAAGAAAGGTAGAGCCATAGAAAGAGGCCAGGAATAAACTTGCAGAAGGAAGAGAGCTTAAACATTTAAGTGAATTCAGAGTGTTTGCATATGCTGAGTAAGCACTGTTCACCCGAGGCCCTGATTCATCCCCTGGCAGGTACAGTGAGGGAGGTAGTTTCAGGAGTTCTCCTAGCCCTGGATTTCAACTGTTTCTTAAAATTTATATTTTTTTATTTTGTTAAAGGAAGACCCATTCATACTGTGAGCCCTCTGTCAGGGTTTTGTCATATATAGGATTATGATGTTATATCTTGGATGAGAACTAAGAATCCATTAGGAATCAAACCAAAGTTTTTCAAGGCCCTCATGTATTTGTGAGACGTTAACAGCTTTTTCCTATAGCTAATTAGATTGGGCTAAGTTTTAAGCAGTGACTGTAGAGAAATTTTAAAAGCAAGTACATTCCAGAAGTAAAACACAGAATGGGTGGAGATGTGTTACAGGAAAGGTTTTACCAACGCTTTATGGATCTGATTTTTCAGAAGTGCCTAGTTATTAATGTCAGTGAAAGCTCTAGCACTTCTGAAAACTGGACTGTCTGCCTAGAGCTTTGGTTTTGGCTCACAAGTGACCTTTTTTTTTTTTGATTTCTGGATTGTACTGTTTCCATTGTGAATTCTGATAAATTATCTACAAATTATCCCTGGTAAGCAGCTGAGCTGCTTAGTAATCTATCCCAAAAGAAGCATTACTGGTTTGACTTCCCTGTAGTCTGTAATAATAGCAGCAAAGCACATACTACAAATAGAGACAGACCATCAGAACTGTATAGGCGATTTTTTTAAAGGTTTTTGTTTTTTGTTTTTTTCAGCCTTTGGCTTTGACATATAGGAGATCATTGATAGGCAAGACCTGGTCCCCCATCTTAGGGAGAGGTTTTGCTTCTCTACAGTCATCATCCGTTTCTCTTCAAAAAACACCACCACCAAAAAATCCTGCAATCTGCTCCCCAGTGTACATCTAACTGAGTATCTAGATCTCACTCATAGGTGGGTTTCTAACTGAAGGCCTGGATGCAGTGTCCTGCAGAAGGGGATTCTATCCTTTCATTGCATGCTTCCTTACCATGTGTACAGCAATTTCTTTTTACAAAAGCAGCCTCAAGTTACCGATACAGGAATGTGGCCATTCACGGTCCAAGCAGAACACAGGGTTTTCTGTGTCAAGGGTGTTTTGTTCATATGCTGGTTTTGCAATTCCTAGACCTGCCTTTTCGTTGTTCTTTCATTCTTGGAGCATACTTTAATTTGTTTGCAAAACAAACAGTGAATAAATCCTTACTTTGATCATAGTTTCACCTACTGTAAGAGGTCTCCTTCCTAGCAGAGGTATGAATGAGAAAGGGAGAGGTGGCTTGTGGTGCTACAGGGGTCACTGCTCCTGTTTCCCCTCTTCCTTGAGCAGTACGAACTGCTCAAAGTTCAGGGAAACTGCATTTACACTAAATCACTCTGAGAGAAGAATGAGGCTCTAGTAGTGGCAGGTCTTTTACAGTTGTTTTATTTCCATAGGAACAAATATTAGTTTTAGCTGCCGCGTGCCAGGCTGACAGCTGCCCTGCGTTGCCATTGCCTGCTGCCCTCGGATCATGTACGAATACAGACCTGTTGTGCTTCATAGCTGAGCAAGGATGGATTTCTGAGTTTGCACTCGTGCCTGGCTGAGAAAGCATTTATTTTTCATTGTCTTGTCACATCTCTTGGCTGGTTTTTCAGATCCCAGTGGCAGTCTGTTACGGGCTTTTTAGGAGCCTATTGTTTTCCTTCTTTCTAAGTATGCAGCTTGGTTTCTTCTCAGTGCAAGGGTAGGTTTCTGCATAGCACCGTGCGACGTGCGTACTGTGTGTGTTGGGTTTATTGTGCTTGTTCTGCAGTTAGCACACCTTGTCATAAATGACTCTCTTACCAAATACTGCCAATCATTTTCCCATAATAGATTTTTTTTTCTCCTTCTTTCTTCATCTAGTCAAGATAAGGGTATTAAATAGCACTTTTCTAAGTTATTCTGAGGATTAATTTCTTTTCTACTCTACATCCTTGTCAGAGAAACAACAGATTGTTCTACAGTGCTTGCTGCCTGCTTATTTCACCTAATACTTTCCTGGAGACTTACAAAGACGTGAGCCTGCGTTGCTGCCCTACAGAGCCGTTGTGGGGTCCCCCAGGCTCCTGAAGCACCATGATTCTCATTCTGTTACTTTACTTTGTCTCCAAAGGGCTTATAGTCTGGCTGTGTAGGTTGCTATAGTGAAACACAGTGAAGATTGTTCGTGCTATGAAAACATTTATTCATGAATGGAAATAAAGATCCAGGGTTTTGTTACTTATTACCAAATGAGGGGAAGCTCATTTGTGGCTGAAAGATTGCTGTATGGCTGCTGGCTACATACAGTTGCCGTGTAGAGGACTAGTGTATTGAAAACCCAGCGCTTGCACCCAAATAAATAAAATGATAAACAGTAATCATTAAACAATTCTATGGAGAGAGATACTTATATCTGTTCTGTGAGTCTAAAAAGCAGGTGATCTGAGGCTTGGGGTTTTAGTTAACCAGTCTTACATTTTAATCTTGTTTTCTTAGGGCTTTTTTTGGCTGCTATCTGCCAGGTAGCCTTTTAAATGATAAAAAGAGCAATGCTTAGAGATAGGCAGAAGGCTGCAGAGATGGCCCTGAGCAGACCATTTAGCAGGTCTGTGTCCTTAATAGCTAGCATTTACAAATGCAAAATACAGACAATTAATGTTATTTAAAATATAAAAGAAATGTTTGCTGTCATATCTTGCCAAGAAGAGAAGCAGGGCTATGGGATGGCTGAGCAGCGCTGGCTCAGCAGCATTCCCGGGGAAAGGAGGGGAGATTAAATGTCTCGAAAATCCTCCTAATCACACTTTCTGCCAGTCACAAAGGCTTCTTTTGATGGAGCAAATAACAGAGACCTTCCAACTAACATTTTTATTGCCTATCTTTAGATGGCACCTTTTTGGATCCTCCCTTGCTTCTACTTTTGTTTCCTTTTAAGAGATTTTCCTTTAGAGACTTACTATTTCTTGGTAGACTCCAGTTTCTGTGCCTTGGAAAGAATGTATTGATGCTAAGGGTAGGAAAGGGGAGTCCTCACACAATCATGAACTAAACCTAAAAGAATGATATTCCTGTAGCCTGGGCAGATTGTAAAATAAGAGCAGCTGTTTTAAGCTCTCAGTATGAGCAAGGGACCTATGTGCCCAGGGAACTTATTTCCTAGATGTCATTACAGCTTTTTGCTCTTTTCACAACAGCCCTGGGAGTTGTACAAATCTCTGTACTAGGGCCAGAGAGTGTGTCTGTGTCTGATAGAATTGTGACTTGTATCCAAGGGAAATAATAGTTTTTGTGTCCTAAAAGGACGTCTGATTCCTAACCTGTTGCATGTATACATGCTTCTTTTGCACCTCAGACCAGTGTGATGATAATATCTGTATGTAATAAATACAGTAGAAAACAGACTAAGCATCTCTTAATCATGTGTCTGCAGTTGCATGGGACTTAACTGGCCCTGTGGTCCAAAGAGGTGCTGCCAGTTCACTTGGTTGTAGATTTAATATGCATTCATTTTTATCCATGCTTGCTAACTCCTTCTGTCTCTTTCTTCCTACAGTGAGTTTTCCTCAGCTTTTACTAGCAAACCTAAGATCCCTCGCACTCCTGAAGCACAGAGTGCCAGCCCGAGAAAGGGAAAGATCCCCCCCATTGCCCCTCAGTTCTCTCAGTCTGGACCCCAAGAAATGAGCCGCTCCAGTTCTTCGGGATCATCCATGAGGAGCAGACAGAGTAAGTGAAAAGCAACTGTTCTACTTGTCAGTGCTTCGTGTGGGAAAGGACAGAGCTTTGTAATAGCTCTCTGGGAATTAAGTTGCGTGCTGCAAGTGTGCCAGCAGTGTATGACATTGTACTTGTCATCTGCAGGATGCATGACCGTGCAGTTATATCCTGCCGAGTGCATTGCTCCTACTTCCACCCAGTCGTGTAGAGAATTTAGAGACAAACTTTTTCCTGTGTCTGGGTGGAGAAACCTTCCTAAGAAATTTGTGAAGTATGTGCATACCATTAGTCTCCCTTTTACCAATGGGAAAAATGAATCCCATGGAATTAAAACAACCTAGTAAATCAGCAGCAGAGCTGGAGAGAGCTTCCTAGGTCTTTTGTCTGTGGTGTTCACTCACCGTTATTCCACACAGGTGCACTTAGGGTGGTTTCATTTTGGGAGCATAGGTGAGGCAGCAGAAGGGAGTGTCCTGGTGGCTAAGGCAGTTTCTGGCATAAGGAGTTCTTGCTTGAGCAGTCCTGCGCTAGGTAACACTGCCAACTCTTTCAGCTCCAGCACTGCTGCCCATGCCCCGTGTTTTACCTCTGACACTGGTGCTTTCTGTTCCTTGTGATGGCAGTGCTGTTCTCTCCTGACTGATTGAGGTGGTAACAGCCAAGAGCGTGTCCCTGCTCTCGGTTTCACTTCCTTACAAAAGTGCTAGACCATTAAAAAGGAGAAGCTCTGCTGAAGAATGGAAACAAGCACAGTGTGTGTGCACACAAGAACTCTTGTCCACGTATGTTAGATTCTCCAGTACAGCTTTATTTTCTTGCATGTCAGAGATGAGACCCAGGCATGTTCTTGTAGGAATCTGGAATAAGTTTCTTTTGCACTGGCACAGTGTATAATGTACTTTATCTTGAAATTACAGTGAAACAGAGTGTGATCAAATTTTGTGATCAGTTGAGTTTCTCTGTTGGTCCAGACTCTTGTGCTTTCTTAATTTTGACTTTTATTAAATAGGGTTTGTCTTACAAGGTACCTCTATCTTTGTTGTACCTGTGCATCCTAAAGTTGAATATACAGTAGGTATCACATTCTATTATGCGTCCTTTCAGTTTTTCTCCATAGTTTTCCATTGGGTTTCCAGGTAACTTTCCTAGCTGTCATGGTTTCCATGAGACAGACTTGGTTTTGGCAATCAACTGTTAGCTGTTTAACTCTTATCTTGCTGCTAAAATTTAGCAAAGAAATTAATTTACAAAGAAATCATCTTTCATACACTCTGCTGCTGTGTATCATAGGTTGTTGTCTGCTGTAACCTGTTAGTTACTCTCTTGCTTGCAGCGTGTTGCACAGGTTTTTATGGCTGGGAAAAATAAAAAATAAAAAAGAGAGGTAGGTGTTAAGGACCTGATTTTTAAACAACTAGAAAGGGTTTTAAAACACTTCAGTCCAAACCTAACTCACATTAACTCAAAGTTAATTCCTAGCTGTCGTTTGGACAGGAAGGCATCTGAAGGCATCAAATGTTTCCCTAGTAAAGCTGTGTGCTCACATCTCTTTCTTTAGACAGATCCTATTCCCTTATTTTTATAGCAGACATTTGTAGATGAGTCTGAAGTTGTATGGGAGGCACAGATACCAGCAATCAGGAGGACTTAACAGTTCCTCCCTGCCATTTGCCTGTTGCATAAGTATTTAGCCCTTTGCATATCAAAAGAGACTGAGACTGTCTTTCTGCAATACTGGTTTTAACTTGTGAATTTCTTGGTATTTCTGGAAAAGTGCAAATTTTTATTGCTGTTGGATATGATGAGATGGGATCACTTCTTTCAGAGAGACATTTTTTAGCTTGCTTTTAATATTGAAGGTGTATTTTCTAGAAACACGTTGCTGCTTTTATGTAAACCCAGTTGAACTAGCTGGACTGCTCCTCTTGGCAGTGTGAATGCCTTAGGAATGCAGAGGAAACACAGGTACTCGCCGTGACTGCTGCACGCCTGCCTGGGGCAGAGGAAAAGCTGCACCTTAAAGCAAAACCGAGCTCTGAGAAGAAAATTCATCATTCCCAGGTTTCCTTCTGCTTTTGCTTCCTAGTCGGTACAGGGATGACACGTGATAGTGAGGCTAGAACACAGGTTAGGCTCCAAATCTAGACTTTATTTTAGCTCCGCACTATGTGCCACTTGTGGGCACGGATGAATGATTAAATCTGCGCAGCACCTTATTCTGCGTCTTTTCCAGTCTCCACCTGGGCATGGTCAAGTTGCATGTGCGGCATATGAAGTTCCATCTAGGACATGATGTTGCTAGTCTAATACAAAAATCCCTACCAGGAAAAAAGAAGAATTTAGTCTGTGACACTGTGCTCTTACGGCTCCCTGCTCCTCCAGAAGTTCTTTAAGTGTCTGCTCACAAGTGGTTGCCCTAAGTACATTCTGCCTTTTTAAGCTGCAATGTCACTGGCTAAGGTGCCTTTGTGCGTGTTCTTCATGTTGTTTGTGTCACTGTACAGGTCGAACAAATGTTTCCCTCAGGCAGCTCCTGTCTTGTAATAAATCCTGCTTTTGGCTGACAGGCTCTTTCTTGCTTCTCTTCTGCAGGCAGCCAGTCCTACAGGAAGTGAGAACAGTTGCTTTCCTCAAGAATCACCTGTCACGTTGCTGAAGGACAGAGCCAGCTTCCTGTAATGACCTTTACTGGCGACCTACTTGAGAAGAGAGTGGGTTATTAATATTGCATGTGCACGCCTCGCACAGCGATTTGGGAATTATCTGATGGGATGCATCTTTTGTCATCTCTGTACCTGGTTAACACAAGGGCCTTGTTACAATTCAAGTTTGTTGCAATTCAGCAGCAGCCCGGGACAGGTATGATAGATGAATGTGCTCCCAGTGTCTCCGATTGCCCACTCCTAAGAGACATTGCTGCCCCTTGTTCTCTGCCTTCTACTCAGAGTAAACAGCCCTTGGAGATGGTCTGTAGTGCTCAGCATAGAAGCCTGGCTGAGCAACTGTCTTGTTTACATATTGCTTGCTGAACCTAGCCTGTCACTTTTTTAAAAAAAATCTATTCTCTTGTGAATGAACTGGGGGATATTTGTGTTCAAAGGCTCTGCACTAGGAATTTAGTGTGAGATGAGATCTGCGTTTGGCCACCAGAGACTGGAGGAAAAGCATTTCAGCAACTTGTGATTGACCCATAGCAGCTGGAAAACACTGTGCCATTGCCCAAAGCAGAGTCCTTGCTCACCTCTGTGGATATGATGAGCAGCTTTGTCTGCAACTATTACTCTCCTATGCATTCTTTCTAGGTTGGATTTTTTTCTTAATTTTTCTTTTTAGTATTTGCCGAATGAATCCGCCACCTTTTCATTGTTTCTTCATTCAGAGGAGAAGCCATAAAAATGTGAACAGATCAGAGGCAGTTTTCCCTTACTGACGGTTATGACAGTCCCCTTTGATCTATGTCATATTTTCTGATGTTCTTCAGTTCTGAGCCTGTTTTATCTTTACGAAATCCGGAACGATCTTCAGACATTAGGAAATGCTGTCCAGGCAAGAGAGCCCAGGAAGCCCTTCATTGAATAAAAATCCTGCAGTTAATTCTGCCAGTGATTTATGAAGCCAAAACTGTTTGTTGTTCTTTCTCTCAAAAGTAACAGTGACCAGGAAACACTGAAGTCTTTACTGACCATTGCCTTTTCAATAACATCCCCTCATGTGACATTGCTGTTAAGACAACAGTAACAACTTTTCCAGAAATGCAGTTTGCCTTGGAACTTGGCTGCCACTGGCAGGGGAAGTGTATTTGTCAGAGGTGGACTTCAAAAGCAAATGTTTTAGCAGGTACTAAAAGAAAAGCTTTAACTTCTCCCTTTTTGAGCTTCAGCTCAAGAAACTAGAAGGCAGCAATATAAAAGCTACTCCAGATAGTACCATTTACCTTGCCCTGGTGGAAGGAGTTGCACAGCTACAAATGTTTTCCATAGGACTGGAAGAAAACTCTCTGCTTGTGCTGGGACTTGGGATTGTGCCTATGGATGTGCAGTGGCAATGGAGTAGCCAGGGTGATTTCCTCACATGACACAGTTGCTATGAGGAGGACTGTGATCAGTGACATAGTGTCATTTTCTTGTAAAAATGGATCCCACCTTCAAGTTCCTGTAATCTGTTGGATCATAGACTTCAGATTGGAATCCGGATCTTCTGTAGAGCAAGATAACCCTTGTTTAAAATCTAGTCATGTTCCTGTGAAGGTTAAGTTTACTCTTTGGTAACTTCAGGGTGTCCACAGACCAAGCATGAAGCAGACAGAGCTTTAACTCTCAAACTTCATAGGACCTGAGGTGACTGTAGTCCTTTGGTAGCCTCCGTCCTGTAGATCTCCATGCTAGATAACGAAAGGACAGAGCATTTCCAACCTGTCTTTGGATTCACCTCCCTCTTTTCATAGGTGATAAACACAATTAATGGAAAAATGTGCTCTGATGCACAAAAAGGCAGCAGTGGAGAGCAGGCATAAAAACTCACTTGTGATTTTCCAGTGTAGCTAGCTTTTATTTTTCCTCTGAAACCATGTATTTTTTCCAGCAAGTAGTATCAATGGCCAAGTTGTTAACATGGAAGTGCTGAGCATGTGCATTTGCATATGTGCACATACAGAATGCCCCAGCAGTTGAGTTTTATTTGTTTTATGGCAGAGCTTAGGTTCAGGTGGGAGCAGACCTGACCCTGAGATGCAGAACAGCTTTTGAGAAGTGCTGAGCACAGTGACTACTTAAAAAAAAACAAAATACAACAAGAAAAATCCCAGCATACCACGAGTTGAGACCAAAGTTGTATCCTTCTAAGTCAGCTAAAAGAGGGTTAATGAGCACCCTGCAGAAGATCTAGATTAGTAAATAATAATAATAAAAAAAAAAGCCCAAACCAAAATGTGTCTTGCACAACTGGACTGGAGGGAATAAGCTGAAGTGTATGAATAAGTGTATTTGTTTCTCACCTTGGCCTGCTGCAAGGCAGAGCTCCACACGTACTTTTTTCCATGTTCAGCTCTTAGTGTGAGTGCAGAGTTTGAAAACTGTGAAGCTATTTTTTATATTAATGCTTGAGACACTTGTGTTTTCCAAATGTTTGGGATGAGAGAAACTGTGTATGTGCTACAAAATAAATTATCGCCTGAGCGCCGTTTGAGAGGCGGGCAAGGTAACCTGTCCCACTTCGTGTCGTTCACAAAAAGCCCCTGCCAGGTCAGCCAGAAGGTTCAGAAGCTAATGAGAAATGTTATTTTGTCCTTCTCGGCCAGACACAGAAGAGAGAAGACTCCCTGGGTAAAGGTCAGTGACATGTACACAGTAAATTCTGCATCTTACTCTTAAAAGTCGTTAGGTGTGTTTTCTATACACTGTGCAGAGGCTGCTGAGAGGTGCAACACCACCCTGTTAAATTCATAACTGAACCAGTGAAAACTGCCTGTTTGTGACTGTACACAATCTGGTCTTGTTTACAAGAATCAAGTGTAGTAATTGCACCTACCATATAGATCTAAAAGGAAATATTTTTCTGGAGCCAGAGTGCTATGTAGTCCTACCATGTTTCTTGGATATTGCTTTTCTATATTCAGTCTGATTTTGTTTATGGATAGGGTAGTACAAGACACAAACTACTTATGTCTATCTAAATTGCATGGAGAGCTCAGTCAGTCTGTATAATTGCTTTAAAATCACCTGTCAGTGACTGGGTGAATATGTTTCTTAAGGACTGTGTTCATTTCCCTCTTTTTGGTAGTCTCTCTTTGGGCCTTGTGGATTTTTAGGGTGTGCATTTCACATTTCACTACATTTTATTATTGACAAATCCTGTTGCCAGCTATTTTATCTGCGCCTGAATGGCAAACTCTGCTCCGTCGCGTTGGGCAGCGTGTTTGCTCACAGGGCTGCAGAGCAGGCGTGCGCCTCGCATTGTGTTTGGGCTCTCATGAGGAGAGCCCGGGCACGCGGGATGGGTGGGATGCCACCCGTCACCTTGGTTTGGTGTCAGAGGTGGTGGTTTTGGGCGGAGATAAATGAGAGCAGGGCACGCAAGGACATTTGCTGGAGATAAAGTGTGTTGGGGAGGGACACGCTGTGCTGGGGAGGGACAGAGGTTGCTTGGTTTGTTTTGGTGCTGTTTCCTTTAAATAAAGTTCGGCAGTCTTTAGAAATCATGGTAGAGGTTGCAGGGTGGGGATGAAAAGCGCAGCGTTGCATTCGTATTCTGAGCAGCAGCAGTAAAAAAGCAGGCGAGCCGCCTTCCTGCCAGGCTTTAAGCACCCCTGGATTTTCCTTTTAGCTTGGGACTCGAGTCCATCATTGAACCAGACCTGCCTGGCAGTTTGCGCTGTCTTCGTGCTTTTCTACAAGCCTAATCTAAAAACAGCAGCAAGAAACAAACTTCTGGGTGCAAGAATTGTCCTACCTTATCAAGGCAGGAAATTCTCTAGAGTAGTGGCATTATCTGATGTTTCAAAGCAAGGTTTATCCCATCTCTAGGCTGCTTTCTGTCTTAAGAAGAGTGAGCATTGCATCCAGTTATGGGATCATGATCCAAATTTCCATTCTTTAAGGAGCGATGTCTAAGAACAGGCGGAGTGGCGAACTCTAGGATGTCTAATAAGCTGGAACATGTCCAACTTTTATTGCAAGTCCTGTCATATGCTCCAAGTTTCCAGGAAACAAGTAGATTAATTTATTGCAATAAAAGTGAAAATGCTTCACTTTATGTTCACATGCAAACTGTGAGAAATCCATTTGAGTCTGAAATGTTCAAGTTTATCCTTGACTCATGATAAATGCTGCTCTGATCACTTGAAGTGCACAGTTTTGGAGAGTGTAAATTATTTTCTTCACTTCAAGTGTGAATGACCTAACAGTGTATCTAATTAAAATAGAAAAATAAATAAAGGCTTCTAGCATGTCTTGCTGGTTCGTCTTAAAAGTCAAAAGAAGTGTTGCTTCACTTTATTTGTTTTTCTTCTAATGATGCTGAAAGCTAATTTTGCTAAGTAAAAGGATCAACATGATAAATAGAGAGGACTGGATGGCTGCAACAAAAATATTCATCCTACTTTAAGATGCTTTATATATTAGACTGTTGCTATGAGTGTTGAGACCATCTAGAAATCAGACCACCTACTGAGGGATATTAGGAGGATGAGGACATCTCCCACTATGGCTCTCAATGGAAAATTTTGGCCTTTCTGGATCCAGATTTTGTTGCACACAGACAGCTTCTTTCTCTGAAGAGTCAAAAGTTGACCTAACGTGAGGATGGGATGTAAGTGCTGGAAATAGCAGCTCTGTGCCAAATGATACAGTTTCTCATTTGGTGACCCCTGTGCTGGTCTGACCGCCCCAGACCTTGTCTGAATCCGGTTGACTGTTGGCAGAGGCTGAACGCTTCCTGAGAACAAATCACGTTATTGTTCATGGCTGTTCATGCACTGCCTTTGGGGATCGTGGTTCGTGTTGGTAGCAAAAAGCAGGGCCGTTAGCACCAAATTAATTCTTTGTCAAGCAGCACCACTGGCTGAACTTTTTACCCTTTGCTCCAGCTGCTTGGGATGGAAGTTGGAGTTTTACCCCTAGAGCAGGTGTATAGTCTTTCCTTGTAGACTTAAGAGAACTTGTTCGCTTTTGTAACTTGGCACATTATGGATTACCATGGAACTGGTTCCTTCTTCTTTCCTCCTTCTCTAAGTGAGCCATCAGGAAGAGAAATGAAGCAGCTCTGGACTTGAGGAAGTCATC